TAAGTAAAGCGCTATACAAATACAGGCCATTTACCATTTAACACCCTGGGATTTTATTTTTTCCAAGTATAAATACACTTATTTGTGTGCTTTTATCAACATAAGAAAATAAATTTGTGTGGTTTGAAGAAGTTTTTATAAATTACTAGTCTCTAGTCTTATGCTCTGATTGTTTGGAAGATGACAAAAAACATTGTTAACCATTTCAGGTGCCTCCAGCGACTTTGATGGTGCAACCAAAATCGCAAAATTGATGGTGACCAGATTCGGCATGAGTGACAAGGTGAGAATTTAGACTTGTGTGCCAGATGATCCCTGTGGGGGTTTTTTTGGTTGTCTGTTTTGTTGTCTGTTTTTTGTTACAATCAGCATTTAAGGACTTAGCAGTGCTGATCTGGGCTTTAACTGTACATACTGCTGCAGACGTACGTCTTTATTTACAGTAAGATACAAGTTATGAAGCCATACACAACAATTGTCCTCAGTCAATTTATGTCAGCCAAACTTTGTTATATTAAAAGCAAACACAGTAGCACATCTACAGCCACTGTATTGAATGAATTAATCTTGAAGTTAATACAAATCTGTAATAAAAGAAGAAGAAGAGGGGAGTGGACCTAAAAACTGCAGTCCTCTAACATTAGTGTGTCATTCGGTGTAATTACACACAGCTCAGTGAAAAGCCCTTTGTAACCCGCTTTACAGTAATCACTAGCTACAAGTGGTCGATGCATGAGAAGATCCATTGTTCATTCATCTTGGTTATGTGTTTGTTACAGCTCGGTGTCATGACCTATGGAGACATTTCAAAGCAAAGCCCCGAAACACAAGCAGCCATTGAGCAGGAAGTCAGAGCTTTACTAAAGGTGAGCAAAATATGTGTCATTTAAAAATAATAATTATAATTTTTTTCTATTCAAAATGGTTTTTTTTTTCTTTCTGTAAATGTTTTTTTACTCTTTTATTTAGGACTCATATGAACGTGCTAAGGATATCCTCAAGACTTACAGTAAGGAGCACAAGAAGCTGGCTGATGCCCTCCTAACATATGAAACTCTGGACGCCAAAGAGATCCAGATGGTGCTGGAGGGCAAATCACTGGACCACTATAGACCTCAGCAACAGCAGCAGGCATTGTAGACTCATACATATATATGCACAACTGTGCAATCAAGCACAGGCCTTTGGGAGGCCTTGTTTTGTTTGTATCCCTTTTATTGTCAATGTGAAGATGACACTGAAACAATCATCATCATTTACCTTCCTTCAGTGATTTTTAAATCATCTCAGTTTAACTGTGTGAAAATAACTATTTGTTCTCCCCAAAAAGTCACAAAGATGGTTTCATTCAGGACTCTTTTTTGTTCTCAGCTCTCACAGGGAGAGAAAAACAAAACCTCAGCAGCGGTTTATGCACCAAGGTCATATTTCGTCTCATATGAATTTTTCTCACATATTTGTACTAACCAGTGAACACAATGGGACCTTAAAGTACCTTAAGCTGGAAAGTACCTTTTGGCTATGACCAGGCACGGGTGCTACTGCTGTTCATTGTTGAACTTTACCATATGCATATCTATTTTCCTTTGTTCTTATTTATTGAAGTGCCCAAAGGTAAGACCAGCTGTAGCTGATAAATGAGAAGTTGTGTATATACTGTAAGCTTGTAAAAGAAATGCATTGGTGCTTGTTTGTGTCTTTAGATTAAAGCCTTCATAAAGCTCAAATAAAGATTCCTCTTACAAATCAGCCCTGATTCTTCTTTTGGGGTTTGTTTGTTTGTTTTGTGGTTCTTAAAACAAGTTGTAGCATTAACACATCATCACCTTATAAAACTGATAAAAAGGCCTTAGTTAATTATTAATATATACAACAAATAACATCTAATATATGTCTCTACATTGCTTAGAATTCAATATAATTCAGAAAGCAGAGTTTATTGAAGCTTTTTCCACTGTTATCTGTCATAGCTGAAAACAGTGGAAATTAACCTCAATCAAAATATTCGTAAGAGCTAGAATACTAAACCAATCAGCTGAAAGACTGTGAAGTACTCCAAAGAACTGATGGGAACTTCAGGTCAATATTAGTGATGGTTTATAGATTTTAAATAGTGCTTTAAACCATTAAGTATGTGTGATATCACATTGAAATCTCTGACAAATGTTTACAGCACCTTGTTGAATCTAGACTAAAGTGGCTGATAAGTGTATTTTTTCTAATGTTACACAGTGTCAAAGAACATCATGCTTTTGGAAATGCAGACAAAATGACAAATCAGATTCTTTAATCTACTGAGTGGCACATTTCTAACATTGCATCTTCTGTTGGCCAGTTAACAGGAGCAAAGGCTTAATTATGGCTGCGGTTAAATTACCATAACCTGCCATTAGTGTCTTAAGTTCCAGGTGACTCTGGGGGAGAGGCTAAGAGACCAAGACACTGTCCTATTGTTTCATCTATTTAAAAAGGCTGGTACAACACTACTACTACTAGTTCTGACCAAAAACAGCAACCAGTGCGAAACATTTGCTATGAAGAAACTTGAAATTTCATTTTGTGTTTTCCAAAAAGCTCTCAGAGCAATCTTATGATTGCCCCAAAGGAACAATGGAGGACACTGATGATGACATAGCTGTTATTGGGATTGGATGCAATTTTCCCGGAGGTACGACTTCATTTTGACACCATTTAAAGCAATACTGAATATCTGCATTTTTTTTCTCCAAAGCTCAAAATTTTAAGAAAATGTATACTCAGGTTGTTGTGATACTTTATATTTTAGGTGAGGGGGTGGACAGTTTCTGGAGGGTTCTGTTGGAGGGAAAGAGCTGTGTGGTGGATATTCCAGCTGAGAGGTTTGACACCACTCTTTGGTATGATGCAGAAGGTAACAAACCTGGGAAGATACAGACAACCAAAGCAGCCCTAATAGAAGGGTGAGTTTAAAAATGTTTTAACCACTCTTAATAAATGGCAAACTCATTGTTAATTTGTTATTAAGTTGTTAATGAAAAAAAAGTAATTGAAAATGAAATGTTTACTAATTATTAGTATTCTTATTGATGTTGTTGCTTTTAGTGCGTTGGCAGTCAGTAATTACATTGTAATAAAATTATTAGACTATTTATTCACAATTAATTGGTTAATTACTAATCATTTGTAAGCTTTGATGAAGTTGTGTATAAATACTGAATCACATATGTAACATTTATGAGTAATACTAGTTGGCTTGTAATTTAAAATGTTGTTATGTGTTGTGTTTATATTCATATTTACAATGTTCATAATACAATAATTTGTAACAAGCATTATAAAGATTCTATTATTTTATTCATATATTTTATATTTTTATTGTGTTTTTATCTTATATTATTATATTATTATATTATGTTTAGATGAGATTATAAAGCTGCAGCTTATGGTTATGATACATTGTTAAATAGTTTATAGGTACCAAATTGATTGATTACAATTTGTAAACCTTAAAGGACAATTATAAAGTTTAACCTGGTGGGTGTAAAACTTGTATTTTCTGGATGAGAAACAACTCATGTTTGTCCGTTGAGTTTGTATGACCTGAGTGCCTCCTTGCCTGCTAGTTAACAATTAACACACACTTAAAAGCAGCTGCTGTGTGGTGCACAGCCCACAGAGTAAAGGACAGAAATAGGCTTAATCTAAGCCTTTCAGGACAAAAAAAAAGTGGATACAGTTGAAGTTAGTAATAGCATGTTTTTTGACTTGTTTTGTTTTTGGTTCAACACAATGACAAAAATGTTTGGTAAAGGTCAACAAAAACACAATATAGTAACATTAATAAAATGTGTATGCAACAACAGCTTTGCATCAGAATGTGAATGGAAGTGTCTGTTGTTAGCTATGACACAATACAGGATTTGTAAAGTATTGTGTATAACACAAACTACTAACAAAGTGACATAAATTACAAATGACCAGTGATTAGTAAACTGCATTATTTCTTTGTTACCTACAATATATAAAAGTTTAATTAAGTTATTTTTCTCTTTGAGATTTTTGAATTATGATGGATCTACTTATTTTATATTCTAGGTTTAATGAGTTTGATTACAAGTTTTTTGGTATTACTGAATCAGAGGCTGACTTCATGGACCCTCAGCAGAAACTTCTGCTGCAGTGTACCTACAGGGCATTAGAAGATGCAGGAATAGCTATGGAAAGCATCAGTGGAACCAGAACTGGTGTCTACATAGGTACTCTTGCTACCATCTATGATACATTAAAAATCCTAAGCAATTTTTAAAATCCAGCAATTTTAAGTCTGTTTTGATTGTGACTGTGCTGCTGCAGGTCTTATGAACAGGGATTATGAGATGCTCAGAAATAATAGCCCTGGCACAATAACCCACTACAATGGCACTGGGACGGCCATGAGTCTTGCAGCAAACAGGATTTCCTTCACCTTCAATCTGACTGGCCCTTCTTTTGCCATCGACAGCGCCTGCTCATCATCTTTGGTGGCTCTTCATGTAGCCAGCCAGGCTATAAAGCATGGTAATATACTTATGCTTGGCTGCCAAAAAAATAAACTATTGGATGATGTATAAAAATTAATTATTTAATGATCTTTCTTTCAAACAGGAGACTGTGAAATGGCACTATGTGGAGGAGTTAGCTGTATAATTGAGCCAAAGGTATTTGTTGCCCTCAAACAGGCAAGCATGATCTCACCTGAAGGAACAAGCAAACCTTTTTCCGCCCATGCAGATGGCTATGGCAGGGGAGAGGGCTGTGGTGTAGTACTTCTCAAGCCTTTGAAACATGTAGGTTGATGATTTGATCTTTAGTGTCAAGTAGTTTTATATAATTGAGATACTATCCAGTCTTCTAATGATGTGACTTTCTTTGTCAAGGCTTTAAGAGACTGCAACAAAATATGGGGTGTTATCAGCAAGACAGCAGTCAATCAAGATGGGCACTCCGTCACTCCAATCACCAAACCCTCCATGGTTCAGCAAGAGGAGCTGCTGAGAAGAATCTACTCTAACTCCGACATCATGAACGTTCAATATATAGAGGCACATGGGACAGGAACCCTTGTTGGAGACCCAATAGAAGCGGGAAGCATCTCGAATGTCATTGCTAAACCCACTCGTTCTGAGACACTTCTGATTGGGTCTCTAAAGGGCAACATTGGACACACAGAATCTGCAGCTGGAGTTGCTGGACTCATTAAGGTACTGCTAATGATGAAGCACAGCACTATTGTTCCCTCAGTTTTCTACTCTGAAGATAGTGCAAGTGTAGATGTAAAAGCCATGAATCTGAGTATTCCAACTAAATCTGTTAGGTGGGAGACAAACGGGCCAATGGGAAGGGTGGCTGGGATCAACAGCTTTGGGTTTGGAGGTACAAATGCACATGTAATTGTAAGACAGTATACAAATGCTACAGTTCCCACTCCAACACCAAAAGACTGTACAAAAGTCTTTGTCATATCTGCAGCGTCTGAGAAATCATTAAGCCTCTCCATCACTGACACCCATGAAAGACTTCGCAGGAACCAGTCAGTTGATTTGCAGGCACTCTCATACACCTCAGCGTGCAGAAGAAGTCATTACAAACACAAATATAGGAAGGCCTTCCTAATATCTTCTCTCTCAGATTTAGAACACCAGTTAATGTCTGCACTGAAAGATAAGGTTCAGGCAGTAAGGTCTAACATCCAGGTAGTCTTTGTGTTCTGTGGAAATGGGATTGCCTACAAGGGAATGTGCAGGCAGCTAATGAGTAAGCTTCCTGTTTTCAGTGATAAGGTGAGAGAAATTGAGACTCTCTTCCAGAGTTATGGATCTTTCAGCATGAGTAGATGGCTTTCTAGTGAGCATGATAACAATGATTTCAATGAGCCAAATGTTGTGCAACCTCTTCTATTTGCAATTCAGGTCAGCATTGCTACTCTTCTGAAACACTGGGGTATGAAACCTGATGCCGTGCTTGGCCACTCAGTTGGAGAGGTTGCTGCTGCTCACTGCTCAGGTCTCTTGTCTCTGGACAATGCTGTCAAGGTGTTGTACCACCGTAGTACTCTCCAGGGCAAAGTCAAAGGAGGGAAAATGCTCGTGGTTGGCAATGTGGCTGTAGATAAGGTATTAAAAATTCTTCCGAACTTTACTGGGAAAATTAGTGTAGCTGCTTTTAACAGCCCTCAGTCCTGCACTCTGTCAGGAGATGCTGATGCCATAGACACCCTCCATGAGAGGCTGAAGAGCATCTTTAAAGATGAAACTCTCTTCCTTCATGTCTTAGATGTTCCAGCAGCCTACCATAGCCATATGATGGATCCAGTATTAGAGGACATTAAGAGAAGAATAGATGTTTTAGATACAAACAACATGGAGTGCAAACTGTTTTCAACAGTGACTGGAGACAAATGTTCAGATGGTGATTTTAGCTCAGGCACATACTGGGCCAAGAACATCCGAGAGCCTGTTTTATTTGAACAAACGCTCCGTGCAGCCATCAAAGACAAGTCGACGAGGGGAAATGTGGTCTTTGTGGAGATTGGACCTCGTAGGGCTCTCCACAGGAACATATGTGAGACCCTGGGCAATGATACCGTAGTTCTTTCCACCGCAAATCCTGATAAGGATTATGGCACAGTCCTCTCAACAGTGGCAAAGCTATTTGAACTTGGCATGAACGTGGACTGGCATAAGCTCTACAGGGGTTTGGAGACATTGCCCACAGCTCTTCCAGTCTATCAGTT